TTCGCAAGAGTTTCACTGATTGAGGGAGGGTCGTTTTCAAAATGTGGTTCTCGCCTCGGCGCCACGCACATTCGTTTCAGAAATTTGCCAGAGCTTCACGGATGGAGGGCGGGTGGTTTTCAAACTGTGGTTCTCGCCTTAGCGCCGCGCACATTCGTTTTCAAATGTTACAAGAGTTTCACGGATAGAGGGCGGGTGGTTTTGGCACGATCCCAGATCATCAGGTCGCAGCAGTCAGGTTGATCCGTGTCGGGGAAATCCCGAGAACAATGTTTTGGCATGCTTCAAGGTCTTCAAACGGTTGTCTTCCAACGAGGCAGTTCCCTCGATGGAAAAGAACGGTTGTAGGGGCCTATGAAGAGGGAGTTTAGGGGGAGGGTTAATTCCCACATCGATGATGACTCTTGGGCTTACACTGGTCATTCTCCTCCTCCTCCTCCTGAGGCCCGGTGGGGCCCGAACGCGCTCTTGGACAGCTGTCCCCGGTGCTTCTTTCTCTTCGGGCATGCTGCTGGGCGAGTTCCCACCCGCAGCGGCAGACCGCCCGCGATTGCGCGGACAGGGAGAAAGAGGCCGCGAGCACGCTGCTTCGGGACGTCGCAGCGTGGCGTTCGAACAGCACTGCAAGGATGGTGGGTGGACGGCAGCGGCAGCAATGAGAGCACTCCTCCTGCACAATTCCACCCCCAAGACCAACCACCGCCTCCACCAGCAAGAAGAGCAGCACGACCAGCAGGAAAGATTGAATCATACCTACTGCATCTGAATCTCCTGCTCCTAAGTGACTCCGCTGCCTCCCGTCGTGTGGGTCACGACTGGAGGAGGGGTGCCCTCTGGGTGGCGCCTGGTTTTGCGTCGCCCACTGCCACTTCCGCTTCCAGAGGGCCCCGCAAACGGTGCCTAACTTGAGGTGTGCCACAGCACGCGGTGTGAGCGGTCAGCAGCACAGAAGGCGAGAAAACAATTTGAGAACATCATTCTGATCAATGAGGAGACTCGAGAGAGGAGAGACCATCACAATGCACATTGGAGCTACCGCCCCCCCCTATTGTACCTACATCGCGGTGGCCTCGGTGTCAAGTACGAGCCCACAGACAGGGGCATACATGGAAGGAGGGGTACGCTCCTTCAAGATCAGTGGCGGCGCGGCCAAACCAGCCCTGGCTACCATGCAGGCCACCTGCACTGGCCACTCCTCACTTCGAGGAGGGCGGGATGGCGCAAGGAGGGAGGGAAGAGAAGCAAAGTTGAAGCAACAATGCAAACGAAAGGTAAGCGGCGACGCATTGCCTACAAGTGGTGCTGGTAGGTAGACTCGTTGAAGCCGAACAGCTCGGACTTCAGCAACAGTTTTCACTATACAGGCAGACCTGGGTGTCGGCGCCGATCAAAGAACTGCAACCCCCAGCTCGTAGGCATAAGCCAATACCAACAAAGTGTTCATGCGCCCGATGCTCCCCTCTATCAACTCACGTGCTGCCCGAAGCCGCACATGAGGTACACTCCATGGATGCTGTCTGTGATGTAAACGCTGCCGGGTTTTAAGCCTCAGTGTTTCTTGTCGAACGCGCCTTCTTTCAAACGCAATCTGTGCGGGTTGTCTCAGGGACTTTCTTCATCATGCTAGAGTTGGCCCCGATACCTTTCCTCCGCCTCCTCGCCCTCTTCTTCCTCTCCTTGTCTTTCTCCTCGACCTCCTCCTCCTCCTCCTCCTCCTTTTCCTCCTCCTCCTCTTCTTATCTTCCTCCAAATCCCTCACAATTTCACAATATGAATGCTACTCTCCTGTCTCCCCTGAGTCTGTCTGGAGGATGTTGGGCCCCCCTTCCGCGTATGGTTTTTTCAGAGGAATGCCGGGAGTTTGGTTTCATAAGTGTTTTTGACAAGTTGATTCTTTTCAGTTTTTCAAAAGTTTGTTCCCGCTGCAGCGTTGGCCTCATTTTTGCGCCTCTGGTTGTTCCAAATCGTGTTCCCGCTGCAGCGCGGGCGTTTCCGTCCTTCCAAATATGTCCCAAAATTCAAAAATGTCCACCCGAACACACCATCGGACGCGATTACACATTCGGTGTCGATTCGCCGATGTTTTGGGCCGCAGATGCCCCCCCCCGCACTTTGGGGCGTCCTCGCGTTCAGGGGATATCAAGCGGCAGCCCCGTTTTTGCTTTGAGAAGGAGATGGTGGAAGCGGAGCCATCGGGTGCTCTTCATCAGCCCCGCCTTCTGTGGAGGTTCTTGGGGGGCCCAAGGAGCAAGACGGAGCCACGACTCCAGACTGGCCCAGGCCTTTCGAAGACTATCCATTTACCCTCCAAGGAAACCGGCGCCATGCCATGCCACGTTGTGCGGTGTTGTGTTCTGTGCCGCTGTGCGATGCCATGTTTTGCGTTGCAATGCTTTGTGATGCAACGCTTCACTTCTTAATGCCACGCCATGCTATGGCATGCTACGGTTTGCCGTGCTCTTCTACGCCATGCCACGCCATGCTCTACCATGCATCGCATGCCCTCTCGCGATCATTGCCCTGCTCGACATCCGACTGTGCGACTAGTGAGGATTTCTACGCCACCGTATGGGAGGGAGGGCTAGGAAGTCAGATATGACGCGAGCGCACCCGATTTGCCCTTCACCCTCCTCCACATCTTTCTCCCCCTCCTCCTCCTCCAGCTCCTCCTCCTCCGCCTCCGCCTCCTCAGCCTTCCCCTCTCCCTCCTCCTCTCCGTCCTCCGTTTCCCCTTCCTCTCGCGGTGGAGTCCTATGTGTGCTCGAGTCAGCTGCCGCTGGGCCGTCGGCCGCCGCCCAACCGTCGCCTGGTACGCAGGACGCCCGCGCGGCGAGGGCGACGGTGGAGGCCGCGCGCGGCGTGGTCTCGGCGACGCACGCGGCGGTCGGGCTGGCAGGCGGCCAGCGGGAGGCGGTGCGCCTCGTCCGCGCCGCCGATCGAAGGCCTCCTCCAAACGGCGGTCGCCGAAGGCGACGCCCCCACGCACCCGCCTAGCCCAAAACGGCGGCGGCCGCACCCCCCCCCGCTGCCCTTCGGCAGCGGCGCCGCCCGCCCAGGCGTGGCGGGAAGGCGGGCGGCAGGAACAGTACCGAGATGGCCGTGCGTGGCGGCGGCGGGAGACGCGCGGGGCGCAGCGGCTCCCGCCTCGCCGCGGGGTGTCCGACGAGTGGGCGGGCGTGCTGCCCATCGTCGTGAACGCCAATGGCCAGGGCAAGGACGAGGGCAAGGTGGCGCGTGGTTTCCCCGCAGCGCTAGCCGCCCGCGGTGCGGCCGCGCTCGAGCTGATGCAGTTCCCCGTCGCGCAGGCCAGCGGTGGTTCGGAGGGCGTCGGCGCGAGCGACTTGTCCGTGTTGCAGGGTTGCCTGGCGAGCCAGGCAGGTCGCGGTCTGCCTCCTGGAAGACGGCCTGGCGGTGCTGAGTGAGCCATGCAGGGCCGTCATCGTCGACCTCACGGTCGGGGGTTGGGTCTGTCCTCCTCAGGTGGAGTCCGGCCCCCTTGCTGCCTTCTTCCGCACGAGGGAACGTGGCGCGGGCGTCTGGGAGGGTCGCGGGTTTGCGTTCCACTCAATGGCGCGCCCATTCTCTCGCGATGTTCAGGAGGGGGTCATGAGAGACACGGGCCCAAGACCTAGGGACCCTTGCTGAAGGATAGTGTCCTCGAAAGCGCGAAAACTGCGTATTTGACGATAGTTTATGATGTCGGGGACGCTAAGGGCGCCTGATGGCTCCCGGGGCGGAATTCTGGCATAGCTTGTAAGAAAGTATTGACCAGGAGACGCGACATTTGCATACTTAAAAACAAGGGGTTATGGTCATGGTCTCGGGAACGCAGCGCAATTTGCGTGTGTGTGTGGCCCCGGGGATACGACTATTGCGTAATTGACACAGGATTATGGCCTCGGGGGCGCGAGTATCGGGCGCGCGAACACGTCTCTCTCTCTCTCTCTCTCTCTGTATCAATCTCTCTCTCTCTCTGTCTGTCTGTCTGTCTGTCTGTCTGTATGTCTCTCTCAAACCTCTCTCTCTCTCTCTACAGATATAGGTGTCCCAGGGCCCACCAGAAATTCTGACCCACCCCCAAATGAAGGTAACCAGGGCTCTTTTTCGGCTCCCCTCCTCGCGCGGATTAAAAAGGTTATAGCAGGAAGCGTAACATATAATTGGAACATCGAACATTGGAACCTGGCAGTGGAGCAGGGGGCAGCAAGCCGCCGAAGCCGCGGAGCCCGATGGCCCGGCAAAGGGGCCGTCTGACTCTTTGTGGCGATTGCACGGGCGGAGAGCGGATTTGTTTCAAGACGGGGGCGTCTGCACCGCGTCGGCAACCGTTTAAGCGGGGCTCGAAGGGAGCCCCAGCGTGGTACGGTGCATGATCCCCGCCCTCGTAGTTCACGCATCTGGGTGCACACTGGTTGTCCTGGTCCACCTCCTCCCGCTCCTCCTTTTCCTCCCCCTCACCTGACCGCTGCCGAACTTGTAGCACCAACTGGCTGAGGCGAATCGTCCTGGCCTCCCCCTCCTCCCCCTCCTCCTCCTCCTCGACGCCCTCCCCAGACCCTGACGTCGTGGTTTTTGTTGCAGCGTGGGCCTCCAGAGGCCCTGGGTCTTGACCCCTCCCCGGGGACCAGGTTTTCATCCCGAGCTGTGCGTTCGACGGCCCCGCGGCCGGGCGAGGGCCCCGAGGGGACGAAGAAATCGTCAAACGTTTTCCGTCGTGCTCTGTGTCGCGACGCGAGGGGGTCGGGGTGCACCTGACTCTCCACCTCCCTCTCCTCCCTCTCCCCTTCTCCTCCTGCTCCCCTCTCTCCTCCCTCTCCTCTCTCCTCCCTCTCCTCTCCTTACTCTCCTCCTGCTCTTTGTTCGTGTTGGGTGCACCTTGCTCTCCTCCTCCCTCTGCCCTTCGTTTCTCCTCCTCCTCCTGCTCCCCCTCCCCCCAGGAGTTCTGGCCCCCGCTGGCCGTCGACTGCGGCAGCGGCGACGACGCTTCTCCAGACCAGCAGGACCTCGTCGGGCCATCGTCCTCGTCGTCCTCGTCGTCCTCGTCGTCGTTCTCGTCAACGTCGTTGTTCCCATGTCTCCGAGGACATGCTTTTCATTGTGTTTGTTGTTGCTGTTGTTGCTGTTGATCTTGCTGCTGTTGTTGTTGCTGATGTTGCTGACGTTGCTGCTGTTGTTGTTGTTGCTGTTGTTGGTGTTTGTGTTAGTGTTGCTGTTGCTCTGTTGCTGGTGTTGCTGTTGTTGTTGCTGTTGTTGTTGTTGTTGTTGTTGGTGTTGGTGCTGCTTCTGTCTTTGTTTTTGAACTCTCACTTCTGAAGAATAAGTATGGTTGATCCCCCTCACCCGTGCATCTGGTTCTTCTCATTCAAAGTGTGCCCCTCGACGCTCGCACTTTGTTTGTTGACAGGGAAGGTCTTGGTGCTCAAAGTGGGCCCCTCGCCCCCCCAGATTACAACAACAACGGCTCCCGCCGGACACTTCCTTCAAATTTACTCAGGACCCCCGCTCCTGAGACTTCTTCGCAATTTACTCAGGATCGATGCTCCCGCCTGTGACACCCTCGCAATTTAGTCAGGACCCCCGCTCCCATCTGAGACTTCCTCGCAATTTACTCAGGAACGGCGCTCCCGCTTGAGACTTCCTCGCAATTGAGTCAAGATTTCCGCGCAATTTAATCAGGACTCCGCTCACGCCAGAGAACCCTTCACATTTATTCAGGAATTGCGCTCTCGCCTGTGAGACCCATGCAATGTATTCAGAAATCGCGCTTTCGACTGTTAGGAAACACGCTGCGCCAAGGACGCCGCTACACATTATTGAGCATTCGCGCTCTCGCCATACTCAGGCATCCCGTTTGAATGTCCCACCCGCCCGACCCGCCCGTCAGGGGTTCGCCCGCCCGTCGTGGGCTCCCGCCCGAGACTTCCTTCAGGAACGGCGCTTTCGCCTAGGACTTCCTCGAACGTTCACGCTCTTACCTTCCTGCTCCCCCTCCCTCTCCCTCCTCCCTCCTCTCCTCCGTTTTCTCTCCCTCCTCTCGTCCCTCATCCTTATGCCTCTCTGCCCTATCCCCTCTCCCTCCTCTCCCTTCTCCCTCCCCTCTCCTGCCTCCTCCCTCTTTCTTTCTTTCTTTATTTCTCTCTCTCTCTCTCTCTTTCCCCTCTCTCTCTCGAGCTCTCTTATATATGTTGTTATGTGTTTGTTTCTTTATTTTTTTCTCTCTCTCTCTCTCTCTCTCTCTCTTTCTTTCTTTCTCTCTCTCTCTCTCTCTCTCTCTCTCTTTCTCTGCCTCTAATCAGCCGCCCCCCTTTTCGCTCCTTCTCTCCTGGCGTTTTCCATATTCCTTCGTCCCTCACCCTCTCTTCCTCCCAATCTCCCTCGTTCTCCCCCTCCTCTTTTTGCAGGGCCCACACACATTCCAATGGCGGGCACATGTACGCCCACGAAGGATTGTCCGCCCGAGCGTTGCCCGTTGATCTAAGCCCGCTGCCCCCCGCAAAGAGACAGAATCCCCCCAAAGGGGGTGGGACCGAAGACAAAGATGGTGGGTATCGAGGGTGTGGGAAGCTCGTTTTGAATGACATGCGGGCATGTAAGAGCGAACGGTGTGATAATGATTGCCGATGTTCTTAATATTATTATCATTATTCTTATTATTATTATTAGTAGTAGTATTAGTATTAGTATTATTATTATTATTATTATGTATTGTTATTCTTATCATTATTATTATTAGTATTATTATTATTATAATAATAATAATAATTATTATTATTATTATTATTATTATTATTATTATTATTATTATTATTATTATTATTATTATTATCTTTGTTGTTAGTATGGGCGTGGTCCTCCCTAGTATTTGACTTCGTGGCTGGCTACTGGGTCCTAGGGCCACCAACATGTTTTTGACGCTTCGTGTATCCCCACCGGCCACGTTTGGCTGCTGACGTCGGTTTAGGCCACACGGTCGCTTCACTTGCTGCGCGCGTACCCGGAAGATGACGTGTCCCTGGCGTTCACCGACCCGGCCCTCCGCCTCCGAGCGGCGCCGCGTGAATTTATGTTTCTCACTCCTTTCGTCGTCCTCGTCTTCCCGTTTTCTTTCCGTCGGCTCTTCGCTTTCTTTCTCTTCGCTCGCTGTGCCGTGGTGCGTCGCCTCCCCGTTTTCGCTACTCTCGCGCAGCCTCTGCGTAGTGGCCCCGTTTTTTTCCGCGTCTCGCCCGCGACAGTTGCGCTGTGCCCGTGCACCGGCTTACGCTCTTCGCGCGACCTGACGACGCCGCGCGGGTGCCCGCTCGCGGTCGCGATCAAAAAAAAACAGCTCATCCAGACACGATCGGATGCTTTATTGAGGCCTCTTGGAGGTTTCCTTGAACGGGGCTAGAGGTTGTCGGAGGCTATTTTGATCAATGTTCAGTTTTCTTGGACGCCTTGCGGCCTCTGGGTGGTCAGTCGAAGGCTATCTTGAGCCGCGTTCGACCTCCTGGGACCGTGGGGAGGAACGGACGATGACAAAGAGGATGAGAAATCCGGCCTTCATGACATGTTGTTATGAGAGGTTCTTGAAGGACGACCAAGGCCATCTTAGGGGCCCTCTTAGGGTCCCCGTAGGCATTATCGGGGCAGTCTTGGGGTTCCGTTGCGGGCTTGTTTTGGAGGTTTTGTGGCTCATTGGAGGGATGTGGGAGGCATCTTGGTCCTCATGGCTCGAAGAGAGGGGGAAGGGAGGGCAATTCAGGTCGCCCCCCCCGGACGAAGCTTCAACCCAGAAGTTCCCGCCAAACCGGAAAACCAGGGGGCGGCGAAACGGGAAACCGGGGGGAGGGCGAAACCCGAAAACTGCCTGGAAGCCAAACCCGAAAATCTGGGGGGGTGGGAAACCTGACGCTCTTTGCAGGCCCGCCACGCAATCATCGGGGTAACTGGTGCTCGTCTGGGAGTCCCCCTTGTGGTACCACCTGTCCGATGGGTGCGATGCTATTGGTGAGCGGACGCAGGCGGGCGGTGGCAATGGGGGCTTGGGGGCCGTTACCACTGGGGCTGTATCGCTGGGGTCCTCTCTCCTCCCCCCCTTCCTCGCTCTCCTCCTCGTCCTCCTCCTCCTTCTCGCCCCCCCCCCCCCTCTGAGGAGTAGGACGAGGCTGAGGCCTTACAGGCAGCAGCGCTCGCTGTTCACAGTATCGTCAGCACTATGCCGTCAGTGTCCTGACTGAAGCCCCCCGAACGAACGAGGAGGAGGACGAGGAGGAGGAGGAGGGGGACGAGGTGGAGGAGGGGGAGGAGATGTAGGAGGTGTAGGAGGAGGACCAGGGGGAGGAGGAGGGGGGGGAGGGGGTGGCGGACAAGGGGGAGGAGAAGGGAAGTGGAGGCGGACGAGGAGAAGCGGGACAGAGGGGGAGATTGGGGGGGGGAGATTGGGGCGGGAGGCAGCAGGACGAGGAGGAGGAGGAGAAGGAGGGGGAAGGCCGATTCGATTTCGGATCAGCGTCTGGCCGTGGTGACGTGGTCCAGGCCGATTTGTTTTCGGAGCAGCGTCTGGCCGTGGCGACGTTCCGCATTGCCATGAACCGTGGCGGTGGCGAGGGGGGCCGGGGGTGGGGCACGAAACTGTCTCTATTCAAATGGCTTGCGCCATTCCGCAGACCCCCTCAAGGAATGAGAGCTTCGACGTTCGGCCTATTCCGCCACACTGCTTGGGTTGTACATCAGACACCACTGGAGTCTTCCTTGGGATCTCGTGGTAAGCCTCCTGGGGGCCTCTGGGCAGCAGTTATGAGGCCTCTTCAAGGCCGTTTTGGGCCTTCCTGGGGGCTTTGTAGGGCCTCTAGGGGGCCTCTTGGCATTTACTTGCAACCTTTTTCGGGGCCTTTTGGGACTCCTTCGGGCTCTTTTGGGTCCTCCTAGGGCCCTCTCGGGGGGGAAAGCTCGATTTTTGAATTTTCGGTCGCCATCTTGGGCCGCTCTTGGGGCCGTCTTCGGGTTTTCTTGGGTTGTCTTGGGGGCTTCCTGGGCCGTCTTAGGGCCCTCTTGGGTTGTCTTGTGGCCGTCTTAGGGGCCTCTTGGGCCGTCTTGGGGCGATCTTGAGGGCCCCTTGGGTCGTCTTGGAGCGTCGGGAAGCCCACAAGGCAAGACAGCAAAAACCATCGAAACACACAATGGAGAATCGAAGGTTCTCACGTCTTGGGGCTCTCTTGGGAGGTCTCTTGGGGCGTCTTGGAGGCCTCTTGTCCCGTCTGCGGGCCGTCTTGGGCGTTTGGGAGCATCTTGACGCAATCTGTTCGCCACTCGGGGCACTTTTTGGAGTGTCTTGGAGGCCTTTTGGGGCTCTCTTGGGGGCTCCCGGGGTGCGTTGACGAGCTCGTCGCCCCCCACATCCCCTCCCCGGGTCCCCGCCGCTTCCATGCGATTTTGGACCCCCGGCCAGGGGGTCCAGGGGGAGGGGGACAGCAAAATGTCTCACACGCCTTTTCACCTCCGGCAAGCGGGGGTCGGCGGATTGTTTTGCGATTGTCTGGTTGGAGGCAACACGACGTCACAGATCCGAAACGGGCGGGTCACATCTATGACCTCCGCGCCGGCGTCCCTCTCAAAGGCGAGCTCTTCGTTGTGGTTTTCCGTCGCGGTTTTCGCTTCAGCAGCTCGCGTTGTCTCGAGCAACCCCGCCGCCGATTGTGGTGCTGCTACAGTTCCTGGTGATGCCATCCTCGTGCTGCTGTCGGCGCCGAGGGTGCTCCTCAATGGGCGCTGCCGCGCGACGCCGCCACCGCGATCGGGCGGGCGCCAGGGTGGGGAGGTGGCCGGCGCCAGGGAGGGGGGGAAGGAGGGGTGGGTCCATGCGCGTTTGTTCCGTGAGCTATGTATGTGGACCTCAGGATACACATTGGAATTCAGTGCCCCGAAGGACACATTCTGGACTCCACGCGTTCAGATGGGGGGGGGGGCCTTTTAATTATTGCTTCGTCGGGGTCGAAGGGTGGACACACACCTATTGCTGCAA